AGATAGATGGCAATTAGACCATCGCAAGCGACGGCGCTCTACCTGCACACACAATATCCTTGGTCATATGCGAACCTACACCACAACATGCACATACACGCCACTTCACCGTAACAACATGCCTAAACCCTGCAGTAAACATGCAGTCCCCATTTCCAGCCCCAGCTTAGCGGGCAAAAGGTATCACGTCAGCACATGCACGTCCCGCGTGGCTGTCCGCCATCGTTCTACTGCTGGGAGGCCTGTTAGTCGTTTTGACGGGGTCCGGCACTATCCAGTGAAGCCGATCTGTGCGTAAAAGATCCGTTGACAGCGTGTGGACACCATGGAAGAGTTTGGATGTTTGTGCTATAGGTTCGGGACACTTGAGTCTTGCGAGCCTCCTTTCTACCTTGGTATCGGCTGTCAAGCAAGCTTCGAAAACGGCAGCTCAAGTCTGCAGCAGTGCTCTGCACCTGCTGATTTTGAGCGAAGTCCTCCGAGTTCCCACGGTTGATACACAGGTGCTTGAAAGAGGTCTTCACAGTATCCTTGTAATGACGGAACTCCCAGCCTTGAAAACAAGCACACGTAGCGACGTCATCACAGAATAACCGTTTGGGCAGGCCCACATCATGCCTCCTCTGCGACTCTAGGCTTCGATATCGGAAGTATTTAGAGTTTTCGGCGCTGTTGCTCGTGGTGACGTACGTCGTATGAGGCCTATTCTCCTCGGTGCGGATTTCTTCGTCAGGCACCGAACCAGCCCTGGCGTTGTCGATGTGCGCGACCGAGGACTTCCGTGGCTATGGCCCGTATGGCATCCCGCAGCTCCGTTTATTGTGCCCCGACAGTGTATCCGCTTCCAGGGCTTGCAAATCGTTCCTGGTGCTCAACAATTTCCAATGATATGATGTTTAAATTACCTGATATTGGCTATATCTTCGGTCGCTAGCGGGATCACAATTGAAGCCTTATCTTGGAGGCAACAAAGCAGCGGTCCGTCCAGTAGCTGGCACTAGACATCGTCTTGGCCAAAATCACATCACGCTGGCCACACCTCCAAATGAGGACGTGGTCCGGTGGCAACAACTGACGCGAGCTATGGTGCGCCCATTTCCTTTTCTCCCGTCTCGGAGCGTGGAGGGTATCGGCCAGTGTAAGACTGTTTCCCCTGCAGGTCTGCAGGAGAAGGACGTTACTGTTACAGCTGCTTGTCCCGTAGCGACTTAGCAATTTGTCCATGGTAGCGTCATCTGTACCAACACGAGCAACAAGGAGTCACCAAGGACGGTCGATTTGTCGGCCTTTGGCACAGCCACTAGGAGAGCGTGCAGACCTTCATAGAAATTGTCTATAACGTCAGTGGATTTGATCCTTAGGGGGAGAGGGGACGCAAGTGTTGACGATAGAGACAAACTTGTGCTCGCGAAGAGGAAGGTGCAGTCATTAGACGATCAATGATACTCTGCGGCAGACAGGATAGTCGCCTTACAGTGTCATTCCTGATGGTACTTAGTTATTTTGGTTCTGGACGACCGCTACAGAAAAAATGCATGCAGTCCCAATTTCCACTTCACAGCGAACCAGTTACAAAAGTACTAGAGCTGTCCTGCCCCTCGGAAGGTCTGAAACTGTACCGTCTAGAAGGGGACGAAAATTCAGGGCTGTCAAAGTAACAATGTCACTCTGGAGCTTGTGGGGAAGTACGACGGTTATTATTTGCAGAAGTTTTCGATTACACACTTTGCATCCGCAACGCGACCGGCGAGCGCTCCTCTACCTTTGCATACAACTGAGAGGACAAGGAACCCGCGACTCAGTGGTTAGAGGAATTGGACTTCTATTCAGCAGGTGGTGGGGTCGAGCCCCGGGAGCTACACACCTCGGAGTTGGGTATGGCTGGTTGAGGACGGCTAATAAGCCGAAAAGGGGCATTCCAGTCCCCCTTGTCTTTGTCGGTAACGCTATTCTCCATCTATTACGCGCCACCACCACCACCGCCGCGCTGCTGATGGTGGGATCCGAGAGAGCCCCAAGGCACGACAGGACGAGTGATTTCCATAACGTGATCCACAAGCGCTCCTAAACCATTTTGCACCCATAAACCACAGTCAACTTGGTGATGATGTGTTTTACCAGCACTTACCCAAAAAGTACGGGAAATTTTTCATTAGTAGTGGTAGTTGCCCCAATTATATTCCAAGCTCTTGCCTGCTAATCGTGCGAACGCGCAAGCGAAATATGTGATTCCCATTAACTGAGCCGATAGTAACGGTTGACCATTCTCCGGTCCAAAGGCAAATGGAAATTACAAATTGTTCAATGACAGATGTTTTGGCAGATTTCCAATAATTAATTTTGACCCACCGAGGTCGTCGAATGCTTCACTTTTGTAGTACGATGGCTCATAAAGACGCCTTCAATCTTCTGGTGGAACAAGGCGGAAATGTAAATTTTTAATTCACAGAAGTTATACAACGCGACTTCCCCACATGCCTTCCGGGATACGATTATGAGGTTCTTAAATTGCCTTTTAGCCTATCTTGAACGCTTTAAATCGGGTTCTGCCTGACGCAGGTCATGCAGGCAAATGAAATAGATTGTCATCTGTTCCTTATATTCCATGCTCTCTGCCCTTTACCACGGCTTTAGTGTTACCAGCGACAGCTCAAGGGGCAGTTGCCAAAGAAACGCTCCCTCATATGAGAATGCGCACTGATTACTCGAGAGTTTTATGACCAATCGCCAACAGTCTAAGCCTAGCAAGATTTACATAAAAAGAATATTTTGACAGGAAAATGTAGCTTAGACGTTGAAAGACAATCAAAAAGGTCGCAGGAGTGCAGGTGCAGGGTGCGCAGGGCATCTGCCCTCAAACACTAGATCCCATAACAGACTTTACAAGTAGAGTCTGGGGAACAGCGTGTTGTCTTGTGAGCGGCAAAATTTTTCTCAGAATGGTATTGCCGACAAATGGATTAGGCGGCGTGGATGTGTAGGCAGAGCCGGGAACCAGGCCTCAGAACGGTTGTTCAAGAGGCAGCTGACAGTCCCAAGCTCGATATTGCCTTTCGAGCAAGCATGAGATATCGGGCCCTATCTGCACTCGCTATGCCCGTAAAATATCAAATAGCCTGGCTCAGCCCGTCAAATTCCGCTCTGAAGTTTGCAGCACAGCACTCGCCACCAGGGGACAAACCTTCCTAACCCTAAGATGAAGTCCCACACGAACGGATTGCTGACGGAATCGCTTCGCCTCCGTCTTTGCCGGGCTGTTGGCAGTTTACCGATATGCCAACACACCTAGGACCATTTCTGCTTTCGCTTACTGCTGGGAAGCAGTAAACTAGTTAAACATAATGACTATACTGCCTCATGACAGCACGGACGTTACCTGCATAAATGGAATTCAAAGCTTCAGTCATGAGATACTTAGGAGTTCGCACCCAGTAACAGCAAGAAAGCAATGAACACGGAACTTCTTAGCATCGCATTACCTCCTGATAAGGGTCGATTGCAGCCTGACTCCCTGTCTTGAGGGGATCGAGTTAGCCCGTCGGTTTGCAGCCTTTCAGCACAACGTGATAATTCAGAAAACGCGTAAAGTCGTTCAGAGCTAGGAACACACGCTGATTGCCGTGAGCACACAGGCCACAGAGCCAACCCCACTCTCCGTTCTCCCAGACACTAGTCTACTGTCCGAACCGGACAGTCAGTTGATGTGACGACTAAACGCAAGTGGCCGGTGTGGCGTGAGCCTGTGCCTAGTCCCGCCATCACACCTTGTGTAGCATTCGTTACAGGTGCGCTGCCCAAATACCGCGTATCATAGCCCGAGCTGGTCCCCCGTTTTGGTCCAGCCCAACTTCCGCGTGGCCCGCCGCAGGCGGCACACCCCAAAGCGTACAGTAATAGAGGACGACTGGACTTCAATTCGAATCGCTATGCTAGACACAGCTGTAGGTTATAAGCTCACTAAGATTAATTTAGGTGGATTCGATGGCAAACAATAGCTGCCAGTTTCGATCTATCCAAAGCTACTGGTAGCACGGGAACGCGAACTACTTGAGGCAGGACAGACACCTCAGTGGCAGGGGACGTCAGCACCTACAGCGCCTTTTTATGGCTATGCCTTTTAGCATGGCACCCTGAAAACCCTTCTGGAACCTAAATATACAAAAAGTTATCAAAATTATTTACTAAATACTGTTTACTGCCGATCATAAGGTCGGAAAGAAAGAGAGCACCACACGACTTGTAGACCATTCGAGAGAAGAGAGCGAGTGAGGTACGGTCAGTCATCTCTGGGCAACACTCGGCCCATACCTACCACGGGAATTTTGCCCCTGTGGCACAATTAAACCGAGGGACATGCTACAGATGGTGCACTGAAATGAACCAGGCACTTCGAGACTCATAATGGACTTAGGATGTGAAGACGAGAAGAACACTCCTAGGATAGTCGCAGCTTGCATCTCCAATTTTATGATAAGGCACTAAGGCCATTATGGGCGATAGAGTGCAACGTTTGCACATGCTGCGAACAGAAGTATATTAGTGCTATTCCCCTGAATGAACACTATCACTAGTAAATAGAAGGAATGAAATAGGCTGGGTGCATGGTGGAATTCGAGGCAATGACAACGAACATGCGAATAGGGCAGGAAAGCCACCACATTGACGACTTTTTCTGCGCCAACTGTACCGTGGTCCGCTAGATAATCTGAACAGTACTCCAACAACAATACTGAAAACAACAAGTTCTATTAGGCTAAAAGGAAACGAACCCTTGAGTATTCGGCTTTCTGCTAAACGCAATTTCGAAAACCAATGAGGCTATGTTTACTAATTGTATGAAATTATACTTAGAAACAGTGTTAGTACCAATAGTTAAGTGGAAAGCAAAAATGCAGCATATAACACAGGTTTATCCGTAACAATAAAATCTGTACAGGGCTGTAAAAGACAGAAAAAGACAAAATCATAAACTCAGAAGGGCTCCGAACATCAGAGCGTAATTACATAGACTGGCAAGGAACATCACCCTCCGTGAGTGGTTTGGTTTTAGCCAATTCGTTTCTGAGTGCCTTCTCAAACTGGAGATAGGCCGCTGGTTTCTTGTACTAAAAGAGTAGTAAAAAGACTGAAAACTTACAGAAATGACAAGGGTGTTATTGGAATGGGTTTTGGTCAAGTTTGTTTGGTCTAGTTTTAAACCAATTCGACGAAGATCGGGGATCCCAAAGCGTTTGAAATATCTAAAATTCTTAAAGTCAAACAACACAAAAACAACTTTTTATTTGTAGTTCGGAGAACAATTGTTTCACCATCGTCTTCAATGGATAACTGATAGGTGCTGAGAGGGTAGGGTAAGTTTCTGATGCGCCACTGGAAGTCGTTCTTTGTGTCTAGTCTGCCAAAAATGGGCTGTGGATAGTTGAAATATACATGGAAAGCAGTTACATTTGCATTTGATTCTTGAATATCGTCAAAAAGCGTGGATCGCGCTTGAGGCGGCTCTCCAACTTCATACGTCCAGCTGCCTTCTCCACCGAGCTGCGTTGGACACTTCCATTTTCGCTCTGCAAACAACGTCAACAAAATGGACACAAACCAATCAAGACTTGGGTGCGGTTGTCGTACTGTTCAACCATTTCCCGCGAGTCATCGAATGTATAATGTATTTTTGTTCGACCTGCGACAAGAGAATACACTTTCGTACTGAATGAAAACATTATCAGGGGGAAATTCGGTAAGTGGCTTTTTAGAAATTATGTATTGGGCTATGGCACTTACTTAAACAGTCCAATTCACTGAATACACATGGAAAGTAAATGCACTTAGAAACAGTGAGTATCCAAATGCTGAGCCACGCGAGTTTTGTGCTAAAGCAAGGATATTAAGTGGGTGACCCTGCAGTATCAAGAGGCAGGCGTACGTTACATACAGATGCAAAAACGTGCACTAACAAACCTTACTAATCGAAACTTGGCGAAGGCTACACTAATAAGTCCGTCGTGTAATCTTAAGTAATTTTTTGGCGGTTTGGTAATAATGTCAAGAAATCGAAGTCGTACAAGTTTCTCCCGTCAATAAGCATGAATTGAAGGAATCTTCAGAACTAATATGTGATACCAGTCTGAATGTAATTATGTCGACAGAGCTATAAGGTGGGGCGTAGAAAAATATGAATAGTCAACAAACATATGAGTCGCACTTTCGTCACGGTACCCCACTGGAAGCTTTGCGGCTTCTGTCCGGCGGTTTGGGATGCTGAACTCAAAAACTAACACCCGTTTTCAACCCCCATCATTTATGCGGAATGGAAGTGAATCTTTCGTAATCGGATCGAGAGTTATCTATGGAGTTTACACTCCTTTCCTTCTCTACCATTCATCAGAATAAAGAAGATGGGCTTAATCTGCGCGAAATGTATAACTATTAAAAAAGAAATATCTAGGGAAAACTACCCAGATTATCAAGCTGAAAATCCGACCACGGTTAAAACATAAAAATAGACAGCAAAGGGCTTGTTCAATACTGGTCGGTGCGCAATATCCTAAGTGAAATGCCTTTTAGACTTGATGCAGGTAGTGGAGATGTTCACATCCTTCTAGAAATGAACATGGTGCAACGCTTAAACTTTGCTGTCTGGAATCATAGCTCACAGGATTTGGACTTAAACAAGAGACGGATGAGCCGACGCGAACGGCAATAAAAACCAATTAGGACGGTGCAAACGCCTCGCACTTCTGGTAGACTGGCATCTGGCTATGGATAATACGTCACTACCAGCATAATCTAATCGTCTGTTGTTAAGCATATTTCCTTTACGTTAGAGGAAGTCGGTGGAGCAAGGCACGTTGAACAACCACTTTTTTATGTGTGAATGGGTTGTTACAAATCAGAGCGGCCCCCCGGGAGTGCAAACACCAGTGGGATGGTCCATAGGACTTAATACGGAACTTGTTGACTTCAGCCGACGAACCATAGTTCGAAGCTCAGTGACCAAAATCCTCGTTTTTAACATAGGACATAATGTGACAGGCACGGGGGCGAATTCTTCAAAATTCCCACAGGTACATGTGCACTGTGGTGTTTGTACAATTCGGTTGGCAGCCAGTTCTCCTTGATAATCCGCTTCTTTGAGGAAGTTGGACTTCAGCCATAATTTCAACAGGCGGAGCAGGGGCTGCGACAGACCTCAGTGCGGGCATCGAGTACTGATGGGCTGAACAATTCTATATAGTCTATCTGAGACTATATGATGAGCGGCGTAATAATGAGGTCAGGTAACATCTTGGCAGCCTCACCGACACTCAAAGTACCAGGTCGAATTTCTAGCAGCACCATAGGTCAACAGTCAGACTCTTTTAATGCGACACATTGTGCGACATATCTGTCCCGATCATGGAAAAAGCCTGGGACCAGATGATTGCGACCGGGTTCTCTTAAAGTTCATAATGACAGACCTTATTCCAATTCGCTTTATTGAACCATGGCTTCGGGTTAGTCTATGCAACAATAACAGGCAAAACACCTAGCTTTCCAGATTGGCCTATTTAGGTTTATTTATGTCCCGAGGCAGTGACGAGGGACTGTCAGGCCGTAAAGGTTTTCTCGTCGTTATCAATATTTTGGGACAATGGGATCCGAAAAGAGAGGAAAGAGGATAAAAGCATTGAAGGACGTTCTGGTTCTTTCCGGTTTTATTACCAAGCCCTTGAAGTATAAGAGTAGCGCCGAGTCTGTGAAATGTTCGAGTTATTTACAACTGGAGACTAAAAACGAGGAATCACCAATTGTCAAATGCGTCAGGGGTTTGGTACATAGAAATTATACGCGACGGAGCATACGGTTTTCCAGCTCAAAATTTTGATGTATAGGTGACAGTTCTGACCTTAGAACCTTGACAGCTAACACAGCGCGCTCGACAGGTCACGCAATAAATTAAGGAGCCGGCAAGGTCATGTAACTTGACAACTTAAATGCAATCTGCAAGAAGAGTGAATATTAAAATACGGCTTACCATCCTGTACTATGGAAGACTTCTTTGCTGCCTGTATCAATTCCAGCCAAGTCCTCGTTGCCATGGTAGGACGGGCAGCAAAAGTGCGTCTGCCGACCTTGATTTTAAAATCCTCCCCAACGGGATCGTCATTTAAAACACGGCAAAGACGGAGTCAATGCAAATTGCGTTTGTTCTGCCTCCAAACTGCTCAGAGATCCACTCGGAAGAAACTAATGCTTATAACAAGCTCCATTATTAGAAGTCGCTTTTTATAGTATAAACGCGGACGACGAACGTCGAATACCTCGATTGGGGCCGAAAATATGGTACAGTTTGTAACTGGACGAAGAGCCTCACGTGGACTATAAGTACCTCAAATAAACTATTTTTAGACTGAGAATAAAACGAGATAGTTAAATCAATTGATTTCACGAAGTCAAACTCGCCCAGCTTCATTAACGTAAATCCTCTGTGAGACACTTTTATGGTGACCTTAGCGTATTTGTCGTGTCCCCTATGAACAAAAATACCGATATTTGTGTGCTCCACTACAGTACTTGTCAAGACACTTCCTGCCGACCTTGCCCTGTCGTCCAAGAAGGTTTGTTAGCGTGAACCCTTTTTAAATTTTCTTCGGAGGGCATAATTTTATTTAACAGCGTCTACATTTTTCTCAGGAACGATGTATGGAGATAAAATTTATGAAAAGCATGCAAATTGAAGTCGAAGTTAGTTAAGTAAATCTCTTACGATCGCCTTTTTGCCGACCGCCGCCTGATTTGGCGTCAGCGTGTAAACATTTTTTCGACTTCTAAATGTTAGTATTCCTAGGCAAGCAGCAGTTCGAAAAAGTGGCCTTCTAATCAGGCGTGTTTTGGCTTTCGCTGGTTGTAACTTTTAACGTAATACCTTGCAGATCTTTCCTTCCCCTATTTGTTAAATTTTGTGAATCCTCTCAAAAAGTAGGAGGGGAATTTCCTAGGTGTAAGGGAGTCCCTGAAATCGGCTTTAGACATAAGATATATTATGAAAATCCCCTCTGATAGCTTTCTGAACAAAATAAAAAGTACAGAGGTCACAACACAGGACCTTGGTGAACGACAATCTGTTTTGATATTCTTGTTGGTATGTTGTGCCAAACCTTTAGGTAACGCGCCTATATAGCAGACCCTCCGATATGCAGATGACGGAATAATTTAGGCCTTAAAGTCAGACCGTAATAGACCTTCCTCAACGTGTGCCCCATAGCATTCTTCCAAAGAGCCCAAGAGGAAATGTTTTATCCAGTGCAACTCATAAGCTGCCTTTTGGACGGCCTTCCTACAGTTTTCCGATGGCGTCACATCAAAGGTCGTCCGCACGCCCAGATATTTTGTGCATTTCCATATTTTAAATACAGTCGTCTTTATAAACACTAGTGTTTTAAAAGCCCTTTTCGACCGGCGTTAGGGTGTA